TGCAAACGCTACTCATGCCCGTGCTCTCTTACAAAGATGAGAAAGGAAGAAGGAAACGGTGGCCAAAGAACCGCCAAAACTCTGCAAAGTTTGGATTCCAAAGTCTGGAGTTATGCAAAATCAGCATTCGGAGCCCGTTAAGACTCCATACCCGCAAGGGAGTGGTTCTAAACGTGTGACTCCCGACATAACCTTGGATCGCTCAAAGACAGTAATAAATTGTCCTGGGAATGCCAACAAGGTTTTACACCGCTAGAAGAAGACGTGTTCGCCAAAAGACATCGTTATGCCTGGGAGGTCATACCAACAGACGATAGGATTTTTTGGCAATCATACCGATGAATCGTACTATCAAGCTGTGGGTTTGAATAAATTTCGAAAGAGGATTATCCTAGAAATAAACTCTCATTGTTCCTGTATACGACTCATTAGAGTAGTACTGTCAGAATGTGACTACGCAAAACAAGAAGTCATCCCACGAAGAGTCTCGGTATTCCACTATCTTTTCACCGAAATGTCAAAGCCTAAGCCGAGACATTTCCGCAAGAGAAGATCAGCTGTCCAAGATGACGAATTCCCTGAAGTCACCATCAACATGGCTGATAAAGGAAAATCTAAGCGGCATTCAAGTGAATCAAATCCCGACTTTTCCCCGAGAGGAAAAGTCAATTCAAGAATTGCCCAACGGATGTCCCGACTCCAATTAAGAGCCATCAGACATAGGGACTACAAGAGAGTGCATGAAGGAAAGTCATCAGATGACGAGCTCTCGGACACTTGTTCTACGATCGCTTCGGATGATACAGTATCTAGCACAGGGCAAACCAGAGAAGTGCTCACAATCACCTCTGATCAGTTCGCTCAAATACTTCAAGAAGCTCTAGCCAAACAACGTGAAGAAATTAGGGCTGAGATGAAGATGGAGATGGAGTTGGCTATTCAACAAATGAGAGAATTGCTAGCTCAACGGTCTCAACTTTCTGAGTCCAGTCAGCGAGCTGAATCCAGCTGCCGCACTCAAAATATTGCAGATGACAGTGATCTGGAAGTGGATGAAGTCATCTTTGCTGATGCACCTCCTAATAACGATAACCCTGGGGGTGGTTCAACGGATCCTCCCAACAACAATATTGGGGGTAGTTCAATCGCACCTCTTAATGATACTGGGGGTGGCCCAATTATTTCTCCTCGATATCACTCAAAGAGAGATGAAGATGAGGACAAGAAAATACAAGACCTTGAAAACAAAGTCAATGCTTTGATGTCCGCTCAGGAAGTAAAGAAGATGGGTATTCCGTATCCCTATCCAAGAGAATGAGATTCAATACCGTACCCGGCAAAGTTCAATCTGATTAACTTCACACCATTTGATGGGAAGAGCTCGCCTACTCAGCACTTGATTTATTTCAAGTCTCATTTGGGCATGATCTCTGGAAGTGAGGCTTTAATGGTCCGGTCATTCGTTGGCACCCTTCGTGGGCCCACCTTCGATTGGTACCGACGTCTCAAGCCAGGGAGCATCAATTGCTGGGATGACATGGAAAGTTTGTTCCTCAGCAATTTCTTCGATGATGACACCGAAGTTTCAATCGGAACCCTTCTGGATGAGAAGCAAAAATACGGAGAGTCAGTCGATAATTTTGTCAAGCGCTTCCGTAACAAGGCAATGAATTGCAGAGATCCTATTACAGAGGAGTTTATCCTGCAAACATGCCACAATAATCTCTCCATCGATGTCCTGGAAACCCTGGGGGTCGTACCATCCAAAACTTGGAAAGATTTGAAAGTGCGCGGTGAACAAGCTGAACACTTTCTTAAAAGAAAGAAAGCTGAGAGAAGCCGACCGACGATATCTGCAATCGCTGGGAATGCGACTTTCGATCCGAAGTTTCAAAAGGAGTATTCTTTCGAAAATGATGAAGCTCCAGCCATATTGAAATACCTCCTCGCCAATGACAAAATCGAGCTACCACCTATTAAAGATCAAGAGGGAGCTAAGAGGACTACGGATCCAAACTACTGTGCATACCACAGAAGGGTTCTTCATTCCACTAAGTTTTGCTTCGGACTCAAAAACAAAATCCAAGCCTTAATTGACTCCGACGTCATAACGGCGAAACAAGCCAAGTAAAGACGACTCTAACTCCATTGGGTACACGAGTATAAACTGTTTCCCCTCACTCCAAAGAGTATACGAGTATAAACTGCTCCTCGATACTCCAACAGGTATATGAGTCAAAACTATTTCCTTTCTTTCACAGGAAATTCCTGGAGAGCACCATGCATGGTACTCTTAAGGATAACCCGATCATGCAGCTGAATATAATGATAAACCCAGTTTCGTAAGGAAAGCTGGGGGTGGATGGTTCATGTAACGGGAAGTTCTCGGAAGAATGCTATATGTGATTTTCTTAGGGATAACCCGATCATTACAAACAAAGTGATAAACACTACATCCCCAAGGTGATTTCCGAATACTCTTTTGCTGAGATGAGATTCGATTACTTCGTTGGATCAATCTTCCCTCACAAAATTCTCATTTGGTCAAACCTTTAAACAGTTAGGACCAAAGCTAAAATCCCCTCTCGATTCCTTTCATGAACGAGAGGTCCACAAATTGAACGATCAAACCTTTAAACAGTTAGGATCGTCTCAAGTCCTCATTTGGTCAAACCTTTAAACAGTTAGGACCAAAGCCAAAATCCCCTCTCGATTTCTTTCATGAACGAGAAGTCCACAAATCGAGCGGTCAAACCTTCCTACAGTTAGGATCATCTCAAAACTCCCGCTTGGTCAAACTTTCTTATAATTAAGACCAAAACCAAAATTCTCTCTCGATTCCTCCAAGGAACGAGAAGTCTACAAATCGAGCGATCAAACCTTCCTACAGTTAGAATCGTCTCAAAACTCCCATTTGGTTAAACCTTTAAACAGTTAGGACCAAAGCCAAAATCCCCTCTCGATTCCTTTCATGAACGAGAGGTCCACAAATCGAACGATCAAACCTTTAAACAGTTAGGATCGTCTCCTCTCGATCCCCTCCATGAACGAGAGGTCCACAACTTGAACGATCAAACCTTTAAACAGTTAGGATCGTCTCGAATTCCCATTTGGTCAAACCTTACTACAGTTAGGACCAAAACCAAAATCCCTTCTCGATTCCTTCAATGAACGAGAAGTCCACAAATCGAGCGGTCAAACCTTCCTACAGTTAGGATCATCTCAAAACTCCCACTTGGTCAAACCTTACTACAGTTAAGACCAAAACCAAAATCCCTTCTCGATTCCTTCAATGAACGAGAGGTCCACAAATTTAACGATCAAACCTTTAAACAGTTAGGATCGTCTCCTCTCGATCCCCTCCATGAACGAGAGGTCCACAACTTGAGCGATCAAACCTTTAAACAGTTAGGATCATATCAAATTCCCACTTGGTCAAACCTTACTACAGTTAGGACCACAACCAAATCTCTTCTCGATTCATTCCACGAACGAGTGGTCCATTTTCAAGTTGAGTAATCAAACCTTATGACAGTTAGGATTATTCAAACCTGTCCAAATTCTCTAAGTGGAGATCCCACTTTGAGTTTTCTTTAGACCAGAAGATAGAATATAAAATCCTTCCTCTCCATCATCGGGTTTATCTCTACCAACAAAAAAGAGACCAGGAGATAGAATATAAAATTCTTCCTCTCCTTCCTCTCCATTGCCCGGTTGAACAAACAAGAGACAAGGAGATAAAATATAAAATTCTTCCTCTCAGATTTCGGGTTTATCGGCCGCCGACCACCCGCCCGCCACCGCCGCTATATAATAGTAACTAACAATGGTGTTTTCAAAACACTTTTGAAAAATAAACACCTTGGCATGATGTTTTTCTAAAAAACACTAAAAAAAATCGTCTTGGTATCCAAACACACCCTAAATAATTAAGAAATAGCTCATTGATTGTTCGTCTCATTAACCAAATATTCAAATTACAGATCTCTACAACATATTTATAAATGAATAGTTTTCAATTATGAATTTAAATGCAAGTTAAAGATCAAATTCTTAAAAAAAATGAAAGTAGTTCTTTAACGAAATAAAAGTATCATCTTAGTTAAGTAGTTTAATACTCATAAACTATATATTATTAATCAAATAAACAGACTATAATATTTGTTAAATATTGTGAATACATTAAAGTTTTTTTTCGAAATTTTGAATTCACAAAATTCAGAGAATGGTGTTTGAATTCGAATTCGAAATTGTTAAAACTAATATAAAATTGTTAAAACTAATTAGATTGGTTTCCCACCATGCCCATATACATAACCAACTGCTCTGTGTAGAAATATACTAGAAGCTCTCACTGTTGATGGCTAATTTAGATGGCACGACCGTCTCCATCCTCAAAGCAATTAGTCCCATATGGGCAACCCTACCCTCTGTTGTAATTTTATTTCAAGATCGAGATTTGAAAAGGATAGCCATAATTTAGTTTTGTGATGCTTTTATTCTATAATAAATTCAAGGGGGGTTTTAGTTTAATTAAAGACAAAGACCTTTGTCCTCTTGTTTGCAAAGTAACAGAAGGTCAATTGATGATTCATGATATCTTGGCTTCTAATGATAATTTAGGGTCGTTGTGGCGCACCGATCCAGGTACGAGGGAAGTTTGTTACATAGATTAAGTTTTAAAATGAGAGAAAATTGCAGATAACCCCCTCATCTATATGTTATCAGCATGTATCGCCTTTCACACATTTTTGTAGAGCGCACATTTTGAGAAGGATAAAATGGCGCATGATCCCCTCTTCCTTATGAATTCGGGGATGGATGTTAAGCGGTACTAAAATAGTTTACAAGTAATGACCGCTAGCAATAGTATAGATGAGGGGAGTTATTGCAGATTTACCCTTTAAATAAAGATCACCCTTCAACATCTCTAACCGCTATGCTGGGGTAATACTATGAAAGGAGAAAAATAAAAATAAAATAAATAAGAAGACTAGAGGTGGGGAAAACTTCCTGTAAGTTGAGAAAAAGAAATTTCTTCAATTCTCCAGACATATTTTTATCATTCTGATTATCTGACACTAATTCAGCTTATAGAACAACAAAAAACAAAAACTTATGAAAATCTCGGTACATAAATAATGCTTGATAAGTCTCTTCATTCCTCAGCGGCTCTTGCAGCACTTAGATCCACGCTAAGGTCAACAGTCTGCAAAAATTAACGTCTCCATTCACTTAGTGGTAAATTGCAGTATATAAATTAGAAAATCTCCAGGATGATTATAGCAGCTGGGTACAAAATGTAGATTATGTCCACTATGACAGTTGAATATAAGACTGCTCATTGGTGATAAATATAAAAAGCTGAAGGGAAATAATGCAGGCTTAATACGCTAATTACCTTTCCAGTAATTTTGGTATACAGTGCAAGAACATCGGTAACGGTCGACTCGAAATGTGTTGTAGCATCATAACTCTGCAGATATCAAGGAATTGTCACAGGCACACATCCAGTTTAAAAAAAAGAGAGGAACAAAAGGAGGAAAATAAAAGAAACTTACAGTCGATATGAAACAATTATCAGATGAAAAAAAAGAGAGGAACAAAAGGAGGAAAATAAAAGAAACTTACAGTCGATATGAAACAATTATCAGATGAGGATTCATTGACAGGTTCAAATCTATCATAGGTATCAAAAAATAATTCATCAACGGCGCCAAGAAGATTGATCCCTGGCCTTAGTTCAGTCTCAGGATGATCGGTCTCAGCTTCAGTTGAGACAAATGCAATGAACTTTCCTTTAGGAGCAACATTATGTGTATAGGAACAGCAGAAAAGATACCTGTCCAGTAGTTGTGTGCATAAGCTCATATCTTAAATTTGTAACATAAAGACATTAGGAGAACTTTACATGTCTGATTTTCTTCCAAGTTGCTTTTGTGGGAGTATAACTTGCACTGAGTGAGAGCCGTCAGTGTTTGGAATAGGATGGCTCATAATAGCAATTGCTCTTGCAACTTTTCCGACCTTCTTAATCTATAAGTAACCATCAAGGAATTTCAAGTGAGCCAAGTGTTTTCAAGGGTTAATTGTGGGTATACCCCTGTAATATCACCAAATTGTGGATAGACCACATGTACTTTTATTGATGCAGTAAACCCCCTGGGCTCTCAACTACATTAGCTTCATGTTAGATTGGGCTTCATAACTTGAATATATGAGCTTCATACACTGATTCACTTACTATATGCACTTGGACAATGATCATTATATATAACTAAGTTAAATGGGAAAAGTAAACGCAGTTTAGGATCCAGGGGCAAGGGGGTCTATCTGCAACAATCAGGGAGTCTATCCACAATTTGACGATAGTACAGGGGGTCTATCTAGTGTCTGCAATTATCTCTATTTTCAAATTTTTGCGTTGTACAATGCTTATAGGTTATATCAAAGTAGACCATTGAAGTAAGAATCATATCACCAGAAGATAGTAAAACTACCTTGTCTTGCAAGTATGAAGGATCACACACAACTTTGTTGCATTTAGCAGTTTCTCCTTCAGATGTAACACCACAAGCTTTTCCCTCTTCATCAAATACTACCTGGAATGTTGAACTCATATATGCTTAAGCATATGAAATGAATTTAAGCATTCGTGGATATCAAATATTCAAATAATCTCATAGAAACCAAGAAATTATGGATAAATTTTGACTATTAAATACCTTGCAACCGGGCTTGTTCAGCATGTATGTACCACCATAAACAGCACTGAGACGAGCAAATGCCTACCAGTTCAAACTCAAAGTGGGTGATAGAAATAGTGAAAATTTTAAGGGTTAATTCTCGATAGGCCCTCTGTACTATTTTGTAATTGTGAGTAGACCCCTTGTAGTTCTATTGTTGTGCAATACCCCGTCTACTATCACCAAAGTGTGGATATGCCCCCTGAGAGAATTTGTTCGTCTCATTTGCCCTCATGAGGTCTATTTGCCAAAAACCAGTTTTCTCTTTCCTCGGGCATAAAAGAGTCAAAGAAATCATTCAGGAGGTCTATCTGCAACAATAGAACAGGGGTCTACTCTCCATTGTGCGATAGAACAGGAGGTCTATCTATAACCCAAAATTTAAAGTAGTTGGTGAGCAAGTTTACCAACCTGAGGGAGTTCTGCTAATCCATACAAAGGATAGATATATGGTGAACCCCCTTGGAATCGTAGCAGGGATTCTGCATAAAGCTATCATCATTTAAAAAAAATTAGTATGCAGATCTCAACTTGATAAGTTATTGAATACAGTTTAAGTTTTCCATTAAAAAACTTTAATTATATTTTCCAACCATTTTTTGTCTCTAAGTGAAATATAGTTGGACTTCAAGAAGTATTTACTCCTCTTATTATTTCTACGAATCTTGAATAAAATAATTATTGAGCAATGTAATTCTGCTTTCAGGGTGACTGGGAAGTAAGAGAATACTGCATATTTCACCATTATACAGGTATATGTATCAATTAAGTCCACTTTAGTGCACAAACTAAAGTTAATTCTACATTCACTGCTGTGTCAGAAACATCTAATTTAATCAAATGTAGAACTTTTGAAAGAAAGCGAAGTCTCAATCGTATGAACTTCTGTTTTTCAATTAGTAAACCAGTGTATCAGCTTCACAAGTCAATGATGAGTTAAGAAATAGGCCATAAACTAGCGAATGCTTTACTTGAATATTAAGTACTTCGAATGCAAAAGGGAAGTTCATGTCGTCAGCGTTACCTTCATCCTCTTTACAGTATCAAGTGCAGGCTCATTTAGATAGGAGTCATCCCTATGAAGTGCCAATGCATGACCAATAAAGCCTATTGTATTGTCATCCAGACCATATTTTCTGGCCAGGAAAAAAGTCAAAATGGGATCAGGTCATCAGTCTGAGGCAACTAGTTCAATAATGACACTGGTATTTAACAATAGATAGTTCAATTGACTCTTCGACGAAATGAAAATTATTAATAATTGTTTGGAAGAGTACAATCTTATGAAACAAAAGACCACTATTTGCATGTTTTTAAATAAAAAATGAGATTTTCCTGGAAGAGTACAATCTTATGAAACAAAAGACCACTATTTGCATGTTTTTAAATAAAAAATGAGATTTTCCTTGCGTAGTAGTTCACTATCATATAGCCGTCCACTATTTGCATGTTTTTAAATAAAAAATGAGATTTTCCTTGCGTAGTAGTTCACTATCATATAGCCGTGAAATTTATTGAATATAGCATATATTGGTAGCTGTAAGTATGTGCATTAAAATAACAAATATCATAAGGAAAGGTACCGGAAGTAAGCTAAATAATACAGTTTTGAATACTCAATGTTAAATCTGGAAATATAATACAGATAAAGAACCATGTACAAGATAAAGAAATACAAGATAATATAGATCACATTAAGGATACACAAAGGGAATATATATCACATGAAAATATAAGTTTATATTTGTAGTAAAGCTTCTAGCATATATATATAGAACCATGTACAAGATAAAGAAATACAAGATAATATAGATCACATTAAGGATACACAAAGGGAATATATATCACATGAAAATATAAGTTTATATTTGTAGTAAAGCTTCTAGCATATATATATAGAACCATGTACAAGATAAAGAAATACAAGATAATATAGATCACATTAAGGATACACAAAGGGAATATATATCACATGAAAATATAAGTTTATATTTGTAGTAAAGCTTCTAGCATATATATATAGAACCATGTACAAGATAAAGAAATACAAGATAATATAGATCACATTAAGGATACACAAAGGGAATATATATCACATGAAAATATAAGTTTATATTTGTAGTAAAGCTTCTAGCATATATATATAGAACCATGTACAAGATAAAGAAATACAAGATAATATAGATCACATTAAGGATACACAAAGGGAATATATATCACATGAAAATATAAGTTTATATTTGTAGTAAAGCTTCTAGCATATATATATAGAACCATGTACAAGATAAAGAAATACAAGATAATATAGATCACATTAAGGATACACAAAGGGAATATATATCACATGAAAATATAAGTTTATATTTGTAGTAAAGCTTCTAGCATATATATATAGAACCATGTACAAGATAAAGAAATACAAGATAATATAGATCACATTAAGGATACACAAAGGGACTCTATGGAGGTCCAATCCCCCATGTGTTTTTGGATCGTTTTCATTGAATTCTTGAACATAAACAAAGAACTTCCGAGCTCTTCGTTTCTCAAACAATCCCATCAATGGAGATTTAAGAGCCTCCATATCAGTTGCAGGAACCTTATGGATCTGTTCCAATGAGAAAAGAACTAACAAATTACTACAAATGAATATGAAAAACTACTAAACACTAAAAAGCTAAAAAGGAAAGAAAACTACCTTTCCTTTACTGAAGACATAGCTTCCATCTACCGCTTTGAAAGACAAATATTTTGTAACATTTGTGTGAATGAGAACACGAACCAAGGTGCCATTAGCCATCATGAACTAGCCACACAAACATTCTTTACTGAGTTAAGAGGTTTTGTGACTTTGCATGCAATACTATAATAATGAACTGAAAGCACAACACATATATAGCTTTCTACTAGGAGCACAATTGATAGATAATTTGATCAAGAAAGTATCTAACTGACCCATCTTTAATAGAGACTAGGGCCATAAAGACCTTAAAATAAATATTACTGAATGTGTGTCAGCTAGTTTGTTATAGAAGTGTAATTTAATTTCCCAGTCCAATCACTTTCAGCACAGAGAAACTTCTTTTTTGTTTCAGAATTTTATAGCAAAAAAATGGGAAGAAGTTAATTTAAGATACAACGCAAATGTTTGAATAAGTCAAAATCCTATTGTTAGCGTAAGCAAAATTAAGGGAGAAAGGAGCGAGGCACAACATATGCAACATATATGAACCATCTTCATTGAAACAAAAAAGTCACTGAATGCACCTAACAGTCAATAGTATATTGCTTCTGAGGTAATGGTTGTTCAATCCCAGCATTCCATTCCAAAGGAATATGCAACAAAAAGAGATGAATATAATACCTTGGGAATCATGTCAACGTTGTAATCTCTGCTAGAGCCTAACTGTGCTGGAGGTTTATCATTTCCTCTGAACCTTGTCCAAAGCTGTAGAATAAAGGATGCCTCAGAGCAGAAAATAAATAATATTTTTATAAACCAGCAACAGATTATGCTTCAGAATCTGAGTTGGATTAAAAATCATAGAGATAAGGTAGCATATATCAACAAAATATCAAAATATGTTTAGTCACTTTAGGTAATAAAGTTCGTTTCCTTGCCTGATTGAGATTGAGTGATGTTGATTCCCCACCATAATAATCATTTTTGTCCATATGCAAGACCTGATGTATAATGATAATCGAAAAATTCAATATAATCGCAAAATTCAATATCAGGATGAGCAATTACCAAATCAGTTTGCTGCACTCATATCACAGAGAAATTTTAACTTTCGTAAAGGGTAACTGTCCAATCACATGAATTACACACTACCATAGCCAGAAAATTACGTAGTTGCAATGATAAAAATCACTTTCCTACCGTTCTTCTGCATCGGCATAATTATATGGAAAAAATATTGCTGTTTTGAAGCAGGAAAGCAAAAAAAAAAGTTCTATGAGAAGAAACTTCGCGATCCATATAAAAACCATATAAAATTTACACCCTACAAAAGAACATCAGTGTAGACCAATAAAACTGTCAGGAACCATCGATGACTGTCTGTATTCCGTTTTGCACATGGGGCAAGGCTAAATATATGCCTCTAATTTCATTCTCATGGCAATAAACAGAGCTAAACTACAATTAAGTTTCGAGAAAACTTTTAATGGTTTTAAACCAAAAAATTAGACCTACAGAGCAAACTTCTACTTAACTAGAAAAACAAAGGGAAACCGCAGCAAAGAGCATGGTAGGAAATGAGAGCCAACCTGAGCAGTATATTTGGCCAATTCAATCTGTACTAAACAAGTGTATCTTGATGAAAAATTAATGTGGTTTGAGGACTCTTTATAAATGCACCAAATAGTCCTAAAATGAATGATATTTCAATAATACAAGAAATGAGACAACTTAGTTCATGGTTAAATTGAATTCATATTAGACAATTCTCTTCCATGGATGTTTTGGGGGCATAAAGAGGATAATGGCTGCTGTGGATCATCCATTTCGATAGTCCATTCCTAGTTTACGGAAAGGCCAGTGTCGATAGATGAAAAGTGATCTCCTTACACTAGATGTAGATAGATGAAAAATACAAGTTACTAGCAGGATTACCGATGCATAAAATAATTGTAAACTTAATGATTTCAGTATTAAACAAATTAGACTTGGATCAGGTTAAACAAACTCTAAAGACTCAAAGCCATATCATTTTTTCTTATACACTCGCATTTTAGACCAAAAAGTCCAAAAGTATGGTTTGATCGTGAAATAAAACTTAAGAGATTGACAGTGAAATGTGATAAGGTGATAAGGTAAATTTTCTTCCTATGACCAGTGACTCCTGTTTCCTTAAACACAGAAACACAACCACATGCATATCCACATTAAACGAAAACTTAAAAATACCCAGATACTGTCATTGAATAAAGGCAAATAGTCTCATCTTAAGTTGATAAAAAAATAATTTATTTTTAGAAATTTAATGAACTAGATGTGCTGGCTAAAAAAACCTCCACTCTATGGAAAGAAAAAAGAAATCATGTAACAAAATAAAAGAAGAAAACCATACTAAGGATAAGGTCGATACTCAACAACATACCCGGGACCCCTATTCTAGCTAAATATGATCATGTAATGCATCTGGATTAAGAAGCAAGGTTCATGTTAGCTTCAGCCTACGCCGTGGACAGATACACGCAATATAGTAATCAGATGTACTTAGTCTTATCTTTGTGCTTGTTTTGGCTTCATTGTCCCCTCATTAATGGGGAGGAAAAAACAGGTTGGTATACTCCATATTTATTTGAGGAAAAAATGATTATAATAAAATGGGAGTTAAAATGAATTTATGAGTACATTATATTCAGAACATGTTAAAACAAAGAATTGATGCAGCATTGCTGCAATTTATTTGCATCGAAGGGCCTGAAAAGAATAGGGAATACTCAGCAAAATATGATTACAAGTTAGCAGAGAAGAGGTTCCATGTGCGATTAGTTGAATAAAAGTACTAAATAGTATTTATTTTTGCAACAACAACCATCATAGTTACAATTACTAAAATGTCTGGACTCCTCTTATAAAGAAGATTCTCCACTATGGAGTGTCCTTACCCGACGACGTTGAACACAATCAAACCTAGATCCAGATCTCAAAATTAGTAAAATCAAACAGAACCTTTAATATACCATAGAGAGAAAATGAAAAAACAAAGACGACGAATACTCACTCAGTATCCAATGTCACATTAAGTAACCAAACCAAACCAAATTTCAACATGCTAAAGATAGAAAAATTGAGCAAAAATGAAACAGTCTATTCCAATTCAATGCAATGTCCTTACATCCAACTATCAGGCAACTTCACTGATCTAAATAGAAACAACCCCGTCTGATAAATTCCTGCAATATACAATATCTGAAGACAACTTTGCTGATTGATCTTGAATTCTAATGAGACAATGACAAACAATACTCATCCAAAATCCAATTTTACTGTAAGTACAAATTCAAATTTTCAACATGTTGGAGATGAAAATTTTAAGCAGAAATGAGCGATTCTATACCAATTCAATCCAATGTTACGACCACCCAGTCATTAGATTCAGAGCACAGTCAGTATTAAATCAATAGTAGATCAAAACAAAAAGAACCCATTTGTTAAATCCCTTCAAAATACAACTTCATGAATAAAGCCAATAATTAAAAAGAAAATAACAAGCAACGCCTTATCAGAATCAACATCAAAGGGACTGATGTAAACAAAACCCAATATCCAATTTTGCATCTAGAGATACCAAATTTAAACTTCGATAATAATATTTAAGAAATTAAAGATTTTATCGAAAACTTAGGGTGGATCTCGAAAGATATGAAAGATAAATTCTTTAGCGGGTCTATTGATAGAAATTAATCGTTTATTCCCAGATGCTAATCGCATAAAAATGCATCAATTTAAGAATTAAAGAAAGGACACCTTAAGGCCATCGACAGAGAGAAGGCCACTGAGAATGCACTCCTTGAGCCCAGTCCCCAGCACGATCACATCATACTCTTGATCCATGGCGATTGAGAGCTAGAGAGAGAGAGAGAGAGAGAGAGAGAGAGAGAGAGAGAGAGAGATGATGATGATGATGAGATTAGTATTGGATTTTATTTATAAGGATGGGAAACAGAGCATATATGCTTGAGTCTAGTTATGAAGTTAAGAATATGTGCTTTCTCGACATTAGTCCCTTCGTAAATCATAAATTGTTGAAATTGCAGGTAGGTCCCTAAATTATTATACCTTGTTCCCGTTACTCTTAATTGAAGGGATTAATTTGAAACTAACTTATAAGAATTTGACTACATAATAGTAATTCCAGCTAATTAGGGGAGTAATGTTGAGATAATGTATAAGAATCGGGGAACATATGATAATTTAAGTGATTTGAGGGGCTAATTTGAAAATATTACAAAGTGGAGGGTCTAATTAGGAAGAACCCAAGAATTATGTATCCATCTAATATAGTTTATCTTCGCATATCATATCATTTCATATATATATATAGTTCATCTTATATTGTTATCCTAATCTATTCTAATTTTTCTATCTTCTTTGAATTTATAATTAAATGATTTATCCTCTCCATAATGAGACTTAACATGTTATTGGATAAAGAAGATACGTTTGATATAAGGAAAAAATATGTCAAGGCCCTAAAATAAAAAAGCTATTGTGACAAGGCCCCCCATATTATTTTTTGTGTGACAAAGCCCCAAACACATGAAATACTTGTGTTTCAGCCCTTATTTACCTTTCCAACGCAGCACAGTGAGAAAGTTTTTTCCAAATTCCAAAACTACCCCCTCTCTCTCTCTCTCTCTCTCTCAACGCTAAGGTCTCCAATCATCCACGCATCATCTCCTCCTCTACAAGCTGCTAGAAAACATAAGAGGGACTCAAGATCGCGTCGGGCGCGTGCCGTCCTACAGAAGATCCGGGCCTCTCGTCCTTCGCTGTAACCTGAGGGCCTTTGACATCCTCACCCAGCTGCCCGGACATCGAAGCAGATCGCCTCAAAGAGCGTTCGCTACCTCGTAAGGCGGAGCGGCGGCCGCGAAGCTCTTGGTGTGCTGCAGTTAGGGGAGAGGAGGAGGGGGAGGGGGCTTCGGTCGACCTCGAGGAGGATGACGCTGCAACTAAAGTGGACGGGGCGACGAAGCTAGGGTGGAGGATTCCTCCGCGTCGGCAACCGGCCCGTCGATCGGTGGTGAGTCACACAAGGCTTGCCCTGGGCAGCTGCCCAGGGCAAGAAAGTTTCTAATCATCTGTGATTTTTTCATGGTTTTTGTTTTGGATGGTGTGAGCAAGTGATTTATAGGTGCAGGTTCATGGCGTAACCCACTTTCCTATGTTTATATCTGTGTGTTTGATTCTTGTGGCTCTTTTGTGCCCTGCACACCAGTTATTTGTCATTTTGCTTCACTGAAGTAATAAGATTAGTATTACACATAAACATGTGAAATTTTGTTTGGGAGTCTTGAGATTCTGTGGTATGACCAATGTAAGTCTATGTCCCTAGGATCGTTGTTCATTATATATGAGAAGAAAAAATCATTTGTTTTGTTGTGCCCATTTGTTACTTTGAGAATTTGCTACTAGTTTTCTCTTTTGGGCAAGATTGTGTTTTGCAATGGCTTAGAATTTTTATTTTACTAAGTTTTTTATCAGCTGACGTTACCTTTGTGAATCCAGTGTTGTAACATTTATAACATCTAAAAGCTCCAGCCGATAATTGTGCTATTTATCTAACCATATGGTTTGGTTGTCTCTTATTTGTGGCAAAATAAGTAAAAATTTGATTAATATTAAATCACATGAGAACGTAGAATGTCTGTCAAATCACATGATCAGTAAGAACATGATCAGCAAGAACATGACATGTATCCTATGTTAACTTTAACTGGTACATGTTAACTTTCATCATTATATGTTAACTCTCCTCGTAACATGTTAACTTTCAGCTGAACATGTTAACAATCATCATAATATGTTAACTTTCACTGTTACATGTTAACTTTCATAATATTATGTTAACTTTCTTCATAACATGCTAACTTTTTCTCAGAATGGTTACTTTTTCTCAACTTATGAATGTGTTGTGTTTTGAGAGAAGCTTGTTTTTGTAATGGATAGGCATATACCAATGAACTGGAGAACAAGATCTCACGACATGAAGAAGAGAACGATATTACATTCTGCGCCGCCACCAGAACCAAAGCACCAACTGTGACGATCAAGCTCAGCTTCTTTCTAAAGATTGCCTGTATACTAAAATTTGTACATTTGCATGGAGATTGAAGTGGTTTTTGTAAGATATTTGTATAAGAAAACATGTCTGAACTTGTGAGAACTTATATATTAATGATAAATCATCTTGAGAGACTTTCAGTCTTTCAAACACATCAAATTTTAGTTCAAAAAAACTTGTTATGAAGAAAGTTAACATATTATTATGAAAGTTAACATATTATTATAAAAGTTAACATGTAACAGTGAAAGTTAACATATTATGATGAAAGTTAACATGTTCAGCTGAAAGTTAACATGTTACGAGGAGAGTTAACATATAATGATGAAAGTTAACATGTAACAATTACAGTTAACATATTAGGATGAAAGTTAACATCTTCAGATTAAAGTTAACATGTTATGAAGAAAGTTGACATGTTCACGTGAAAAATAACTTATTCAGCTGAAAGATAACATAGTCGAAAAAAAACAAAAAAAGATAAGCTGCTTTTAAAACTTCTAACAGGTGATATTGCTTGAGTACACAATATGATTATTCTTACAAATTCACAAATTACAACTTCTATGAAACACAAACAAACTTGCGAGATCTGATTACATCCCTATCATCGATGGAACCATCCAGTCAAAGACCCTCCTCGCAAACCCCACCCTCCCACACCTGGAATACATCCTTATCATCACATTCTTAATATAAACATCCTCATCGAGCCTCTCCCTTCTCACCATTTCCCTCAATTCATTGGCCTCTCATAGCCTCCGAGATACAACCCATCACATTCAAGAAAGTGGGTCTACTGGGTCTAATCCCAACGTCCATCATTCTCCGAAAAAGGGACAACGACATCGCAGGTTTTCCATTAAGGGCGTTGGCGTCGATGATAGATGTCCAAGAAACAACATTTCTCATCCTTTGAGACATTTGATCGAACAGGAGTTGTGCAGCCTCCAAATGACCACATTTTGAGTAGAAGGAGATGAGTGAGTTAGTGATGAACATGTCGGAATCGAGGTTGATTTTCACCATCAATACATTCAAACAATCAAACGAAATCGAACAGGAGTTGGGCAGCGTCCAAATGGCCACTTTTGGTATATTAGCTTCAAATATCAATCACCACAAGAAACAACCTAATACAATCAAACGAAATCAACAGGGCAAATCAACAACCTGACAAAATAAAAAAAAGGTTGATTTTCACCATCAATACAATTTGATGAAGGAAAGCAGCAAAACCCAATAACAGTAACCAAAGCATTCGACAAATAAGATGACACGACGAGAGAGAGACGTCACCTAAATTAAATCAAGCTTTGCGCCTGAGACGCTTCCTCAGCTTCTTTAGCTTGTGCTTGTTCATCTTCCTCTTCCTCTTCTTCTTCTTCGCACTATCAGCCCACATTGTCGGACCTCCGCCATCACCATGGTCTTCATCGGAGCCCATATTGGTGTCGTATAGGCCGAGCCCATGAAGAGAAATTGGGTCCAGAGTAAAGCAATGAGGAAAAGATCGGTAAAATGTTTTAGGGTCTGGATTTGGGTTTGAGTCAGGGTTTTGGTGAAGGAACGGGGAAAATGGGGGATTTGAGAGATGGGTTTTGTTGAGGGATGTGAGGAGTCTAAATGGAGGAGAGGTGAATGATTATTTTCACTTTCTTGCCGCTCCGCTACTGTCGGCCACCTCGGTCTTTTCCTCAGTTATCTCTGTGGTGGCTGAAGCTGATGCTGGAGCTGCGACCTCCTCCGATGATGGGGCAACGATTTCTGGCGTCTTGGCCTCCACCGTTTCTGGTGCCGAAGCGGCAACCTCCTCCAAGACCTCATAGGAGAAGAAGAAGAAGAAAATGGGAAGGGGTATTTTCGGGAGCTTTTGTGATTAAATTCTGGGATAGTGTGAAAAGAGGCCTAATCACTTTTTTTTGTTTTAGGGTTGAAGGACATGAGAAAAACAATAAGGGGCTGGGTCACAACAACTTATATTTTTGGGACCTCGACACATTTTTCCCTTGATATAATTTAAATCTTTTACTTATTTTATTTTGAAGAGAAATCTAAAAATATATATATTAGCCAACACCTAAAAGTTTTTGGACCTTGTAAAAAATATCCTCCAAGTTTTTAAATTATAAAAACAACCCTACAAATTCAAAATTTTATTAAAACATCTTGAAAATTATAAATTTTATTTATTTTAATTCAATGAGAAATCTAAAAAATATATGCTAGCTAAAAAATAAAATTTTTTGATATTGGAAAAAGTATCTTGTAAGTTCTGAAAAATGCAAAAATATATGCTAGCTAAAAAATAAAAGTTTTTGACATTGGAGAAAGTATCTTGTAAGTTCTGAAAATGCAAAAACACTCCTAAAATTTCAAAATTTATAAAAAATACTTTGAAAATTTTAAACCTATAAACACACTAAAAACCTACAAATAATACAAACAACCCTAAAAATTTATAGAATTTGCAATAAACACTCTAAACCTTTTACAAATTATAAGATAAAACCCTCAAGATTGTAAAATTTATAAAACTCCTAATATATTTTAACCTAACAGTACATTGAAAATATAGGAGTTATAATTATCTCCTGCATAATTTATAATTTATAGAAAACACCCTTAAAGTTTCAAAAATTACAAACAAACACTCAAAATTTAAAATTTATAAAAAAATCCCTGAGAATTTCAAACTCATTAGTAAATTAAAAATATAGGAATTATAAATAGTCTATAAACAATTTATAATATGTAGAAAAGGCATATACGTTTAAAAATTTATAAAAACCCTTAATATTCATAATTTACAAAAAAAACACCATGAGAATTTCTAACTTATATAC